TGCGGCGCTAAAACCGCGATGTCAAAAGCACGCCGACAACAGCGCGCCAACAAAAGCGCGCCGACAGAAGCACGATTTAAGTTAAGGTAAGATTTAGGGTTAGGTTTAGGGTTAGGTTTAGGGTTAGGTTTAGGGTTTGGTTTAGGGTTAGGGTTACAGCGCGCTTCTGTCGGCGCGGTTTTGTCAGCGCGCTGTTGTCCGTGCGCTTTTGACATCACGGTTTTAGCGCCGCGGTTTTGTCGGCGCGCTTTTGATGTTCGCGCATTTGTCGGGTCACAGTTCAAGAAAAGTGAAAAAACTCTCTTAAGAAAATATTAGGGTCTCAAGAGCAGACATTAGCATCAGTGTGCACTAGAGTATGGAATCCCTACATCTTTAATATATTCAACGAGGAAGAACATTAATCACTTTGTGAATGCAGCGTTATTATTCATACTAAATATAAATAATACAAGTAACAAGCTTCTTCTCCAAGAACAGCTTAGAAAAAAAACTATAAAGACAGTGTCAGGGGTTTGGGCAGGTACTTTTAAAAGAGAAAAACAGAAACATCAATTCCTTCCAAACAACTATTTTCTAAACAACACAGGGCATGCAATTCAGTCAGAATAAAGTGTTAGTACAATAAATATCATATTCTTCCCAGGGTGAATTCAGTCTGAGGCTACATCCAATGTGAACATATGTGGGCATAAATTTCAATGAATAATTAATTCCAATTAAAACACGTAGAGCTCAGGCTGCACAAGTCAAGTTATGCCTTCAATATAAACTTTCAAGAAAGCATTTCAATGGTTCAGAAACTAGTAATTTAACCTGTTTTTTATTAGTGTAAAAATGGGGGAAACACTTTCTTTTTTTTTCAGTAGCTGCACTGTTCTGAACACTTTAAAAGTATACAATACAGTGTACTTAATATGCCTAATTAAAAATAGATGAAGCAAGCAGATAGAAAATGGCTCACAGTGCTTTCCAATTCACAACAGTTTTGTATCCCATCTTAATTCTGTCATTCATTGAGAAGCATTTTACACACTGGCTGAACTTCTTGGCTTTGGCCCTTCTAAGCAGGCCAAATTAGCATCAGCTGTTAACACTGTTGCATGCATGCATGAAGCTGCTTTCAACTTTCCTTACTTTTTTCCCACTACAGTAACCCACATTTAAGCACGGAGTCCTATGGCATGAGAAAACTGGCAGTAGAAAACCAATTATGATATATGTATATACCATGATGGAACATGACAAACAAGCAGACTCAAAAAGCTTAATTCATTTCCATCAAAAGGGGTTAAAGTGTTCTTCTATCCACTCTTCCTAGACTAATGAAGAAAATAACCCTTATTTTCTACCCTGAAAAGGGTTGTTCTCCCTCACCATTGCCCTATTTTTGCTTGGTGGTCATGTTTTTGTAGCATGCTGAATACTCTTTTTTTCATTCCCCCCCCCCCCCTTGCAGCAGTCTTTCATTCCCTGGACCTCTGAAATGCATATATAGCTCTTCTCATACAGTACATTTCTCACAAGCAGGCAAAAAAGATTGGAAATCTACTTTCCTCCCCCCCCCACTTTTCCTCGGTGCTATTTAACACATCACCATCAATCAAAGGTTTTTTATTCATTCGTGGACACTGAAGTCCTCCAAAGTAGCATTGTCTCTTTTCATTCCCTTTTTTTAAAGGGTTCCATTAAGCCATAAGATCGATGCCTGCCTTCTTGATACATTACCTAGAGAAAGATTGGGGGCAGGGAGGGGGGCAAGGATGATGCACTTTTGCAACTCCAGCTACGAAAAAACAAATATAAAAGAGAACAACTTTTGTCCCCCCCCCCTCCTTCTTTTAATACTCCATACCTGCCCCATTTCCCACTGCCTCCCCAGTGGGAAAAGTTGGTCGCTGCACAGGGCGCCTAATAGGAGGTCTAATTTTGGTCCTAAAATAAACTCGATCTGCAAACACAGAATTGAGGAAGGATGGTTATTGTGGTGGTGGTGGGGGGGGGGCAGCAGCCCTGCTGGATTCATATAGGAGAGAAAGAGACCAAGCCGGAAAACTTCCCCTCCTGCAGGTAAGCAGCGGGGGGGGGGGGAGCAGGAGGGCAAAAACAGCAAGAAAGCCAGAGCACCCAGAAACCCCGGGAGGGCTTGCTCAGCTCACACTTACGTCTCGGAATTTGTTCCACTGTCCGACCTCCTTGTCGTACTGGGAGATGGTTGTAAGCCATTGCTTATCATCCAGGAAATTCCCGCTGTCTGACCTGCCTCCGGCTCCCGTCGCCGCTGCAGCTATGGACCCCGCCGCCGCCACGGCTGGATTGCACCAAGCGGCTGCCCACACGCAGGCGAAGGCTGCTACCTTGAACATCTGGGTGGGCAGAGAGAAACAAAAGGGGGGGGTTAGTCCAAAAAAAACCAAAACAAGCCCTTGGGCACCGCGAGGGGCCCTCCTCAACCGAGCCAGTTGGTGGGAGCGCTGCTAATCTACAGCAAACGGGAGAAGACGGCGAAGCATTCCCTTCCGAGGAGTCTCTCCCTACGGCAGAAGAGTTGTGGGGTTTTCTTTTTTTTCCCCCTTGAAGGGGAGAGTAGTTATCTTCCCCACCACAAAATAATAATAATTAAAAGAGAACCAGGCGGTCCATCACCTTGCTGAAAATTCCACCGCCAGCCGATGCCCGACTCCAGCGACCGAGAAGGCAGCTCGCTGCTGCTGCTGCCGCCGCGGCTGCCAGCGGTATCTCCTCTCGAAGATGCTGCTGTTGCACCCGCCGCGCCAGCCGTCCACTCAGCGCCTTTGCGCCCAGCGCGCGCTCTCCCGGCTGCCGCCGCTTCGCAGGCCCTCCTCCTCCCTCCCCCCCCCCCATACACCTCTTTCTTCCACCACCCTCCAACTTTCTATCTTCTCTCCATCATCCCCCTCTACCCTATCCTCCCTCCCCCCCCCCCACTCCCCGCCCGGCGCGCAGCTCTAAGCGAGCGCCAGGCAGAAACCCGGGCTGTCCGTCTCCCCTTGCGGGGGGGAGGCGAGGCAGAGGCTCTGAGGATTGGGGGGAACGTTAGGCTGGGCAAGCTCAGCTCCAATAAGTCGATTAGGCAGGTTTTGGGAGGGGGGGGAGGTTCCCTCGGCTGCTTTTATTTTGAAAGAATGTCGGCTCTGGGTTTAGGGGAGGGGGTAACCTGAGAGGGGAAAGCCCTCTCCCCGCCTTTTTCTTGCTCTTTTAGCCGGAAAGGGGCAGGAGGCAACACCCCCCCCTGCCAAAAGAGCCCGCAGGTTCATCCCATCGCCTTCCATTTATCAGGCTGGCATCAGCCTCTGAGCTTTGCCACTCCTGGTTGGGGGGGGGGGGGGTTGAGAGGGAACGCGGTATGCCAAATAAGGCGGAGATAGCCCCTACCTCAATTTCCTTTCTCGCTCCCCTTATTCTGTGGGATCCAAAGTTGGGGCAGCTGGGAAGAAAACGCAAGCGGTTTCTTTTCAATGGGGAGCCGTTCGTTCGTTCCTTTGCTCCTCAATAGACCATGGGCAATTTGGGTTGCTCCTTGGGCTGTGTTCACATGACCCAACAACACACTTGGTTATTTTTAGACCTGTGTGCTGTACAGACTTAGGGTGCCTGGATGAGGTGGCTGCTTTCTCTTTATAGTGACTGCCTTGCTTGGGAGCTGATCTGCAGTAGCAAGAAGAGGCATCTGGGGCTCTGCCTCTAAGCTTCCTCATCTAATCCTTTCTGTTGCAATGTCCAAGAAAATAAGCAAAAGAAAGATTTGCACTTGCACACTTTCTGTTTGTCCCCAGAAAATGGCAAAATTTGGGAAAGAAGGCCTGGGACAGGAAGTTTCAGGAGATTCCTGAATGGAGAGGCAATTTAGAGAAAGTTCAGGTTGGGGCAAGTTTATGGAGCATTTGCGGAACGTTGGATCTATGAAGGCTGCCATGTGTAAAGATGACCCTGGGACATCTGCCATAGAACTTTTTTTTCTTCTGGTTCCAGCAGCAGCCACTATGAGACCTGTTGATGGATGGGTTGATGAAAGAAAATGACAATAATAATGTTGGAAGAAATGTCCTTCTGGGTTCGGCTCCAAGTGGGGGAAAAGACACTGGAGACATGGAGGCTGCTTGGAAAGATGGTTTTAATGGTGGACAGGACCACGTGGCTTGAGTCCTGAACAGAAAAGGTGATTACATGCTTCAATGTTGGTGGAGAAGAGAAGGGAAGGGAGGAAGAGAAGCTGAGTCCCTGGTTTTATGCCCTCTCTGGCCTTTGATCTTGAGCTTCTATTCTGATTGGTTGTCAGACTCCCATGGGCCATGCAGGGGCAACTCTCTAGGCTGCGTTTTGAATCCAGGTTTGGTTGAGTTCTCAGATGCCATGTGCCGAGTTGGGTAAAAGGGCCAATATTATCATGGCTTAATCCCATCACTGTGGAGCTGAAGGGGAGAACTCTTTATTATGTAAAGTGGACTAGCTCAGGCTTTAATGGCTCATTGACAAAGGGGGATGGGCAGTAAGCTGCAGGCAGCGATTCTGTCTTTTAAAACATGTTTCTTACTTTTCACATCCAGAGAAATATTCTGCCTTTTCAATATTTCCTAGGATATTTCATTTTTCTGGGAGAGGGCTGGGTGATAACTTCCTACAATACTAATACTCAAATCTAAAAATCAGCTTTTTGTGTAATTCCATTCTTATTAAACTATTTTCAAGTAAAAACATGTCCAAGTCATTTCTTTCATCAAGATTGTCAATTTTACCATCACGCTTATCCCAAATTCTTCCAGTGTAGGTGTTTGTAAGAACTTCCATCATTGACCATATAAAAGTCTCATGCAGTTATCATGTATAAGAACAAAGTTCCATAAGATATTTTATGTTCATTAAGAACAAAAGAAAGGCAACTAGTTTCAATTATACGTTCACTTTTAAAATCTTCTGCATCAAAATACATTCTCCATCCCAATATTTTCTACCTTTGTTATATATTCACCAAAGTTTTTTTAAGAACTGTTCTCTCTTTTATTACATTTACACTTTGAAAGTCCCTTACCCATTTTTGACAATTTATCTGCTATCATATACTAAAGACACATCATTTGATAAAAATACTCTTTAAGATTCAATTTTTCCCATTTTATCATATAGGTTTTAACTTGTCCGTCCTATTTCCATTTTCAATAAAAGCTTATATGTATTGGCAGTAATCTGATGATCATTTCTATATCAAATTCAGTTTTACCTTTTTCAAATTGATAATTCATTTTATCCAATTTAAAACTTTTCATTAGCGGAGAAAAACCAATGACATGTAAAACCTTCAATTTTTAAGTTAAACTTTTCTTAGGAAAATTTCAGCAAGTCAACATAACTTAAACATTTTTGTTTAACCATCATTTTTTGATATTTATTTTCCCAGGGTGGAGAAGACAGGTTTAAGAAGATTTTATTCTACTCCTGACCCAGTTCATCAAAGTTTATTTTAGTAGAATAGAATGTAACATTATGGCATCTATTTTAAAAAAAAAGAGGGTGGGGAGCACACACACACACAAAGCAAAAAATTCAGAATTATAATCAATAGAAATTTTTCAACAGTTCCTTTCTGGATAGATAATTCGATTTTCCATAGACTGCTAGGAATTGCGTAGGAAAAACAGTGGTGCTGTTGATGTTATCTAACAAAGCTCAGATCAGTTGATAGATATTTGAGCTGCTTATAGACATGTTAAAAATATTTTCCTGATAATAACACTCATAAATAATCCACAGCCAATAAGTACTATATTTATTATTTTTCAGCCTGCAAAATATTATCTGCATGAATTCTAGCAATACCTTTTTACCACCATGTTGAACATTAGTTTTAAATACTGTATTCTTCAGTTTCATCCTTATATTTTTTTTTTCTGAACATAGTTGACAGTCCCTTGTATTTAATCTTAATGGATTTTGTCTTGCCGTGGTTTGGGCTATTTTCAAAAGTAAATTCAATAATTTTAAATTCAATTAGATCCCAGGACATTTCCATGTAGCTTTTCTTTCTACTTCCTAATCTTTCAAAAAGTGTTTGAAGATGATCATACTCGTACTTACTGCTGCGGAATACTAAGAAACAGAAGTAAGGAATCACTGCATAATTCCCGAAGAAGCAATTCCTTCTATCTCACTTACTATAATAAATAAATAAAAACTCCACTCCACTCTACATCCTCATCTATATTTTTATGTTATTCTTTCTTTTTATGCAAATAAAAACCAAAACCATCCCCCCCCCAAACCAGGTGTTCCAATGAAGGAAGCAATAGCAATAGCAATAGCAGTTAGACTTATATACCGCTTCATAGGGCTTTCAGCCCTCTCTAAGCGGTTTACAGAGTCAGCATATCGCCCCCACAGTCTGGGTCCTCATTTCACCCACCTCGGAAGGATGGAAGGCTGAGTCAACCTTGAGCCGGTGAGATTTGAACCGCTGAACTGCAGATAACAGTCAGCTGAAGTGGCCTGCAATACTGCACCCTAACCACTGCGCCATCTCGGCACCAAAGCCATAAAACCATATTTTCTTTTGAAAGACTTGGCTGAACCTCAAGCTCCAGAATAGTTTCTATCCTTGGGCGATCAGACTCTTAAACACAACCACAATCACTCCACGCACATACGGAAATGTATGACTAGGGTTTTTTTCTATTTCTTTCTTTTTCAATTCTTTTTCCTAATTACTTGCATAGTGATTATTCTTTATACTATTTATTTTGTTTGTATTTATTGTCATGGATTCTACCAGTGGGGCTAAAACCAATTTTGTTGTATTCATGATGTACAATGACAATAAAGGCTGTACTACTATACTAGCGATGGGGAAGGGGACATATTTTGTGGGATTGGGGACGGAGGGGGAAGCCATGACAGGGCAAAAAAGACTGGAAACTGAATGATTACCACAACTTATAGTAACCCTCCTCCCCCAATCGCTACTCAAAAGCAGACAATCAGATTTCTTGGCAGACTGGTCTTAGGTGAATATGCTTGAATGCTACTTTCTATGTGTAATAAATCTAATCTAAGATTTAAGAGGATGGACCTGGCATGTGTCATTAAGACATGGATGGACAAAGAAAGGAGAATCACTCTTTCTTTCCAGTCAGATTTCCTACAGTTCTTGGACAGAAAAGATAGTATGACAGTTGTGAGAACTGTGATCTTTGCAAGAAACTCTGGTCCTCAATGATCTGACCCAGGCTTCCCAAGAGCCTGGGTCAGATCAATAAACCTTCTTTCCAAGCAACTTCCATGAATCCAGTGTCTTTTTCCCCACTTGGAACCAAACCCAGATGGACATTTCTTCCAACAATGGGATTAGCTGAAACCATTAAGATCTTCAGGATGGAAGGTCCAATAAAGATAGGGTTGAGAAGGCAAGCTGTCAGATGCTCCATTATAGTCCACTCCTCTATGTTGTTAACATCTCTGTAAAGCAGCGATGAGAGATCATCCATGGATTTGGGTTGAGATATTAATTTGTAGATGATACTCATTTGTACATCTCCATCCCAGGACAAATGAGAGATGTGATAGATGTCCTGATCTACTGCCTAATGTTATTAAGGTCTGAATAGAGAGAAGAAGGCTCAGATTAAGCTAAGCAGTGAAATATATGTTTAGAAATTGCTTGTTTCCTTTACAATAATATTTTTTACTTTGAGTGGGGGTGTATTACTCCCTCAAAGAGACAGGCACACAACCTGTAAGGGAAATGAATCTTGGTTTACAATTCA